CCTTTACACCATCAAAATCAAACTCATTTTTTTCTTTTCAGTTTTGTCTTCTTTTTAACCTTACAAATATAGCAATTATAGTGTAGGAAACGCATGGATGTGTAACATGCGGTGATATGTGTTTTTTTTTTTAAAAAAAAAAAAAGGGAATCGCATTGGGATACAGAAGTTATAACTATTATCTTCACAAATCACGAGATATGGAAAATCACATCTGAAACATGGAACCAAACACACATAGGTTTGGTGTTGTGTTAATGTGAATGTTTTATGTTATATTATATTACATGTATATAAATCAAATAAGATAAGATTAATGGTGATTGTGCATGAAAGTAACAATGATAATGATGACATATATATACCTGAAAATATCCCAACATGTATCAAGACCTTGGATGGGAGGAGGAAGTGCATCTTTGGCAAAAATGCTGCGATAAACAGGACCCATTGATGGCCTTCCTTCTCTTGCCTCTGTGGCTTTCTCCACCTCAACGATGAACCTCTTTTCTGCCATCCCTCAATCAACAAAGAGATGGACCCTTTTTTTTTCTTCTGAAGCTCTTCTCTTCTCTTTTCAATTGTAACCTTAATAATTAAAACTTCGTTACGTGAAAGACAATTTTGATTGGTCAACCATTTCAGATCACTACACACTTTTCTCTCCGCCAACTAGCTAGTTTGTTACTCATTTCCAATGCATTCTCTCTCTCCATCACACACACTTTTTATTTCTTAAATACATCCATTAATTACCTTTTTTTTATCCCTCATAATGTAAAAATATATTTTATTTCTCCAAATATATTTTTTATATGCGAAACTAAAATCGAAAGTATCAAACGATTCATTATGCTTAATAATATAATTATTTGTAACAGATTTTTATTAGCCTATTATTTTCTTTTGGAGTAAACTTTATGTGATCATACAAATTATTGACCCCCTTTTTTTTATGACACAACTGTCTAAAAATGGATGTCACGCGCATTTGCATGGATAGAAAAGGTCTTGGATCAGAACAAAGTGAAGAATAAAATTTTGATAGTCCTATGGTACTTATTTTTATTTAAGAAAAAATAACACTATAAAATTGAGTGTTATTAAAGAAAAAAAATACAACTAAAAAGATTAAAAAAAAATAAGAGGGGAGGGAAGGCTTTAATTTGATTAATATTATACATTTTCTTCATTTCATAATAAGTGTTATACTAGATTATTTTACACACATCAATAAAAGCTAACAAATACATAAAAGATAATAGTGATTTTATAAAAATTAACCTTATAATTAAGTTTCTTTATTATAGACAATACAACATAATAATTACCTTTCTAAAAAAAATTATGAGGAGCACATATGTATATAAAAAATAATTAATACTAATTTAAAAATTTACATACCATTTATTTTGATTAATAATCACCTTTCAAAAAAATATTAGGAGACGACTACATTCAACTTCAAGTGAAGTAAAATTATAATTGAATAACAAAATTTTCTATGTGAATATTTAATTAATGTGTTACACATTCAAAATTAAAAAACAAGAATGTTGATCAAATCAAAATAATCATGTGTCAACAGACATAATCGCTATAGTAATCATGTGTGTTGAAACAATCGTAATTTCTATTATATATATATATATTAACCTTGTTTTTATATATTATATTTATTTTTACGTATAAGATTCAATTATTTAATTTATTAAGATTAAAAAAATTAGTTAGTTAATAATAATAAATTTATTTTATTCATATATTTTTTCTTCTAAAATTACTTTTATATTATTTTTTATTATTAATAGTCATTTTTCCCTAACTAATTAAAGTATATGTTCTTTAAAAAATTTATAATTAATATATTTTACCAAAATAAAATAACACATTTTAATTAGGAGTATTTTAATCTAAAAATAATCAATATATGAGACAATATGAATTGGATCTTATATAAATTAATAAATAATTATTTTAAAATGAGTCTTATAAATAGGAACAGAAATAGTTTTTAAAACTAAAAAAAAAATTTCTTACAAAATCTCTTTTAATAAATTTAATGCATTACAAGAAAAATTATTTTGTATTGATGGATATAAACTATCACTAGAAATTAAAAATATGTAAGTACTTGCCTTTTTCTCATTTACCCACAGACAATATCTATTTTGTGAATTATATAATAATGATTTTGTAAATTTTACTTATAGTAACTAATTACAAATATAAGTATTTGAATTTTACCTATATTAAATATTTGTGGATAGAAATAGTTTGAATTTACCTACATGTATCATGTCTGAAATAATAAAACATCTATAGTACATGACACTTTCCTTGTAAGTTTTAAATTAATATATATATATATATATATATATGAGGAGGGTTCAAACGACACCGGTGTAACTTTTACTAAGTGTTACACCGCTCAATAACTTTATATTAAATGTGAATTTTGTAAATCCAACCGTTAGATGGAAAGTTCATATCTCTTAGATCATATATGTCAAATTTTGTTAAAATTGAACAACAACTTGAAGGTAATCAAAGTGTTCATATTTTAGTATATTTT